GAACGTTTTTTGTAAACAAATTTGAAAAGATTAAATGTGTGCGAAGATGCGCAAAATAATCTAGAATCACCCAACCCTGGACTTCTCTCCATATTGCCTTGTATAACATGAAGAGACTATTTTGCAGAAATTGAGAAATAACTGGTTTAAGAAGGTTTTGAAAACCTCGATTTTTTTTTAGCATTTTTTTTTTTGTCGAAAATGGAGTTTTGCACGCGATTTGTGTTCGAAACGAACGAGCCAAAGAAACCGGCACGTTTGGTGAAGGGTTAAAAATGACCTTGTATTCTGTAGTTTAGCCAAACCAGAATATTGATAGTGAACTCAATTATGACTGAACCTACATGGCGTCCCTATACTAAACTCTATAAATATCAATTTATGTCAGTCATTTTGGCGAATACCTCGTCAGCGGAAAACCCCATAGACCTGTTGTGAGAAAAGCTCCCTTTCTTGGTGTCAGGCATGCAATAATTTTGATTTTAGATTTTGATTGCGTGACGGCTGGTAAGATCGCGTGAGGTCTGGAATAAGTGGGAGGGGAAGGGAGGGAAGTGCTTGTGATAGTTTCTTTGTTCCAGGCTCTCCTCAGTTTTACTAATCCAGAATGGCGGATTTATTACCCGAGGTTACGCTCAGGCACTACATGCTTTACATGTGAGGAATACATTGTTGAGTTTAAATCAAGGAAATTACAGTACAGCTTGCATGTTTAATTGACTTTGCCCAATTTTATTACAGTCTGCTTTGCATTTTACTTTTTGGCATTCCATTTTAGTCTTATACGACATTGGAATCTTTTTTTTTCGAGAATGGCTTCTTTTTCCTTGGTCGTGTGCCTACTACTGCTTATTTGATAGCACAGCACAGCACACAAGTTATGAGCATCAAATGACTCTTTAACTTGCCTGAAGGTTTTCACACAGTCATACATGCTGTTAATACACAGGGAAAATGTCAATTTGGTGAATTAAAACCATGTTATCCTATAACTTCCTAGAGATAACTTGATTCTAGTATTGCAGACAATGGTTGACTTTGTTGACAATACTTCTAATCAAACACAAGTATCATTAAAATAGAGACTGTTCCTTTCTAAGAAATTCCACTCATACTTAGGCAGAGTATCCCATGACAAACTTTAGTAAATCTGGTTGACATTTTCAAGTCTCAAAATGAATTTCAAGTCAAATTCATCTAAAACTGGTTATATTTGTATTAAAATAAATCCACAACTGAAGAAAATACAAATCAGGCTAGTTTATTACTTGAAATTCATTTAAAACATAGCATTATTAATGATTTCAAGCTTACTTCGCATACATAGGCTGCCCCTTTGGCTGGTGGTGTTTTCTAAGTAATTCAAGATCCTACTAGGAAAATGAACAAGACTGCAAAGCATAAAAATATACCTATGGAGTGACTCTACAAGTGGTATTAATAGGTTAATAGAAGTTAATAGTTAGCGTGAATTGTAAATAGGATCGCGTTTCATATCTCGGCACGCGTTTGTTTGATCGTTCGTTCTGTTCACGTTATCGCTCCGTAGTTTTGTTTTTGTAATTTCTTCGCTATTATGAGCAAACCCAAACGCTCTTCGCTCTGCCCCGGTTGCAAAACGCCGAAGAAGGATCATACCTTCGGTTTTCCAGGCAAGTACTGCGCTGGACCGTCCTTAACCCAAGAAAGTAATGCAGCACAAGAATTATCAGAGCACGCGACATCGCCGCCATGTCAAGTTGATTCCACTACTCAGCCCTTCAACGGGACACAGGAGCAGGATCAGTCGCAGCACCTTCTTGAAGCCATGCGAAACCTGTCTCTGCAGCTGGAAGGCCTCGTAAAAGAGCAGACAACGATGAAGAAGCGCATGGAGGAAATCTCCGTCGGGAACGCCCCCAAACCAGTTAACGAGGCTAGTCATCCAAGTGGTCCTGATAACTTGCCGTCCGTTAGCGGTGCCTCCAAACACCATCATTTACCTGAGAAATTCGCCCCAGCTGCCGTAAATGGTGAGTACGTGGATTTCTCTGACGTTTTATCTGCCCTAAGTGTTTTGCGATCAAGCCCGAGCGACGAAGGGATGTTGCGCTCGATTTCCGGTGACCTGATCGCTATCTCCAGGCCACAACGCAAGCGCCTCGTCGATTCCTTCGATTTATGGCTCCAAGTGTGGACCAAATACGAAATGGAAATTGTTTCAGCACAAACAGAGCGCTATTTGGAGCTGGCAGCGTATCGAGAACAAATTCAACTCGCCAACCGCAAATTTCGTTGGCCTTTCGTGTACATGTTCGATGTACAGACTCGCACACGGGCGGCCTCGCGCAACGATATCCGTCTCGATGTCTTAGACACCACACTTTACACCACCATCCTTGACGCCTCCGCTCTCCGCGCTCACCCAAAGCAGTGTACACGTTGCAAGTCCTTCGATCATCTTGTTCGGGATTGTCCCTTTCTCGCGCAGGAGAAGCCTCAAGAAGCGAAAAAACCCGCGGGCACCCGCTCATAGTTCTCCGGAGCGAACGCGCCTGACTCATGGAAATTCGACAAGTGGTTCACTGCTACAGGACAGGAGGGTTGCAACCTGTACCAGCGAAAACGGTGCAATCTCGGCGACGCCTGTAAACGAGCTCACGTTTGCAAAGCTTGTAGGGGGGACCACCCCAAGGCCGATTGCCCAGGCCCTGCCGGAAATTAAATCGCCATTCAACCCGCAGATGTGGCGCTCATGTCTGTGGGCACACCCGGACACTGATTTCGTAAATGATTTATTACATGACATTGAATTTGGAGTACGCATTGGTTATCAACCCGTTTCCCGTGATTACCAAATACACACCAATCATTTATCCGCGATCCTCAACCCTGAGCCCGTGGCCAGGGAGATCGCACGTGAACTTGACCTTAACCGTAAAGTTGGACCGTTTCTTACCCCGCCCTTTGAGAATTTCACTAGTTCACCTTTGGGTGCGATTCCTAAGAAGCACTCAGCGCCTGTCAAGTGGCGTATAATACATGATTTATCGTGGCCCGCTGGCCTTTCAGTTAATGACGGTATCCCCAAGGATTTGTTTACATGCACTTACGATTCGCTCGACCGCATCACACTACTCAGGCAATTTGGAACTGGTGCTCTAATGAGTAAACTGGATCTCTCTGATGCATTTCGCCACATTCTGGTTAACGCACAGGACTGGGAACTTCTTGGATCTACGTGGCCTGTGGAGATCGATGGTACTGTTGTGCCCGGTTATTTTATAGACACCTTCCTTCCCTTTGGTCTTCGAAGTTCGCCAGCCCTTTTTCTAAAATTCGTCGAGGGCCTCAAGTTCGTCATGTCGTCTAGGGGAGCCTCCCCCATTTGGAACTATCTTGACGACTTCTGGACTTGTGGACCACCTTCCCCGAATCCACATTGCCCGACCTCGCTCGATCTTATGTTGGGAACATGTGAGCATCTCGGCTTCACTACGAACCCGGCAAAGACAGTCCTGCCGACAACAAACTTGATTCTTCTCGGAATTGAATTAGATTCTCTCGCTCAGGAAGCAAGAATTGATCAAACCAGACTAGCCGAAGTATTGTATATGTTGGACAAGTGGTCATCACGTAAACACTGTACGAAGCGTCAGCTACAATCGTTGATTGGAAAGCTTCACTTCATTTCGTCTGTATGTCGCCCTGGAAGAACTTTCGTTCGTCGCCTGATCGATCTACTCAGCAAAGCTAGCCACCCTTCACATCGTATCCGTCTCACCGTCGCATTCCGTAAGGACATTCACTGGTGGCAAACCTTTCTTACCTCGTGGAACGGCTGTAGCTTCTTCTATCAAGACACATGGCTACCCAATTCTTCCTTGGACCTTTTTACTGACGCCAGCCACGCAGCCTTTGGAGCATACTTCGCCGGCGAATGGTTTTCCTGTTCGTTTTCCGCTCACCGCATTCCCCTCTCCAGATCCATCACCTTCAAGGAACTTTATGCAATTACTGCAGCGGTATCAGCCTGGGCCCCTTCACTGGCCTCTCATAACGTGATGTTTCATTGCGACAATCAGTCGGTTGTACACATTCTTTCGTCTGGCACAAGTCGTTGTAAACATATCATGTCTATGCTGCGTTATTTGTTCTATGTTTGCGCTTACTACAACATTCTACTACGCGCGATTCACATCCCTGGTGTGTCGAACTGTTTTGCTGACTGTCTTTCTCGTTTACAGGTGTCCAAGTTC